TCTTCAATTATACTTTGGAATATATATATATATATATATATATATATATATATATATATATATAGACAGAGAGAGAGAGAGAGAGAGAGAGAGAGAGAGAGAAATGAAAACTCCAGCCAGGAACTGTGGCACAGGCCTGTAATCCCAGCAACTCAAGAGGCTGAGGCAGGCTGATCACAAGTTCAATACCAGCCTCAGCAAATTAGCAAGCCCCTTAGCAACTTAGGGAGACCCTGTCTCAAAATAAAAAAAAAAATAAAAAAGGAAAAGAATTGCAGATGTGGCTCAGGGATAAAGTGCTCCTGGGTTCAAACCTTGATACAATAAAATAAAATAAAAACTTTTGAGTTCAAAAATACACATGAAGTTTTATTTACTTTGTCAAAATCTTTGCTTCTTCAAACATTTCTAGCAGAAAAGTTTACAACAATAACACCAGGTCCAGGCCAATAAAAAATAGCATCCAAAACTATACTAGGTAATTGCAGCCAGATTAGTGTAAACCAAATAAATGCATTTATTATTTGCAATGTAATCCAATATACTAAGAGATGGCATGTACTTTATTTTAATTAGCTGTTTCTTTTAAAGGGTTGCTTGCTCCAACTGTCTTGATAAGAAAAAAATTGTAGTCATTGCTCAAAACGCTTGTAGCAAATCTAGTTTTAAATTGAAGCAATTTATTCCGAAAGTAGTCTACCACTGCAGCAATAATCAATGTGTTTTCCCTTAGCCTATACTGGAGCTTTCCAAGGACTATTGTTAATTGCCTGTAACTAAATGACTGCTGGTGCCCTTAAATGTAACTCTTTGGCACTTGTTCATTTGTTGTGTTTAACCAAATGCCAGTTTCCCTTAGGTTTTGCCTAGTGATTTTACTTTACAATTTTCAATATTCAGTCTCAGTCCCTTAAAGGGGGTAGAGTCTATCATTTTAACAAAATAACACAGAGGCTAAACAGATTTTAAAAGGTCTGCACTTTCTCTTTCCATCCTCAGATGTTGAATTGTGCTGAAATGGAATCTTTTTATTTTTCAAATGCTGCCACTCCAGGCAACTTGAACTAGAGCTGAAAAACAAATCCCATTTCAAAGGGAAAATGACATTTGCTGGGACAACACTATTCACATGCACATTGTAATGTAAAGATAAAATGTAGCCTGGGCACAAATAATTTCTCTTAACTGTGACAGAATTTAACCCCTAATAATTTTGTCCTGACCTAAGGATAAATAATAATATTTTGTACTCTTATTAATGAATGTATCCAGCTTGGAGCAGAAGAATGTGGAGACCAAATCTAATGCACCACTTTCCTTGTGAGAGTCAACACTTAACACAAACTGTATAAGTCAATGTTACTAACTTAAATCAAATGGAAAATGTGTTAACCTGCACACATTTATAATGTGTGTAGATGCATACTATACTCACATAAAAATATGAAATAACTGAGGAGCAGGCACTGTTGTATGCACTGTGGGAAATGACAAAGTTTCCTTCCTGACCTTTTTATAAGGATAGTAGATGAATACCATGTTTCTGAATGGGGTGGGAGTATGGAATCTGAGATTCTCTCATGATCTCAGATAAGTTAAGTCCTTTTAAATGCTTTTTCTTTGTACCAGTTTATAGAATTCCTATTATTAGTAAATTACTATCTGTGGCTCAGAAGGGTTATTCTTGCTTATTGCTCATTCTCTAAGTAACACAGGACTGTTTTTGTAATTGCTAAGCTACAGCAACCTTGTTCTCTTATTACATTTCTGGCAATATTATTGATGGGCTAAATAAATAGAATATTTAAGGTAGTAGGTATAATTTTTTTGAATGGCTGATGACAGCTAGCAAAATTGGAATAGCTCATGTATGAGAAATTCTATAAAAATAAGGACTTACATTCATACTTTTTCTCTAATTTATACATATTCAATTTCTAAAAATTAAAAAAAAGTGTGTGGAGACCATTATTATGAACTCCATCTGAAGAAAATGAGAGTTCTGTTTATTGGGTTGTTAGGATTATGTTTTGATTGTCTCCAATGCTATTTAACTAGATATGGGCACTTAAGGCATACTTCATACTCAGGCCTCGTTCCACACCTCCAGATGCAAAGGGTATGCTTAGGGGCACTACAGAGGAATCATTCTCTGCCTAGGCAATTATCTACAGCACAGCAGCTGTTCTGATTTCATTCTTTCTTGTGAGTTTCTCCCCACATAGACTTTGGGTCAGAACTTACAATGAGTTTTTATTTTAAAAATGAAAATACTAAGAATTGAAGTATGATTTTTTAAAGAGAGATAAAATTCATAGATCAGCTCAATGCATTGTGATAAATGCATAAAATTGTGTATCCACATGCAAAAATGATACAGAATATTTCCTTTACCCAAAAAGTTCCCTCTTACCCCTTTCCAATAAATTTTCCCTTCACTCATCCTCAAACCATTAGATTCTGATTTTTATCACCATGGATTATATTGTTATGTTCTTGAACTTGAAGTAAAATCATACAATGGACATCACTTTGTATCTGTATTCCTTCACCAAACAATTTTGAGAGATTCATGCATGTTGTGCATATCTGTACTTTATTTTCTCCCATGGACATACAATAGTTTATGTATCATCTCCTGTTAGTGGACTTTTGGAATGATTTTGGTTGTGGCTACAATGACTAAAACTATTCTGATCATTCTTGTACAAGTATTGCAGAAATTTACTTATATTTCTCTTGGGTTAATTCCATTGAGTGAAATTGATATGCATAGAGTAGATTCATATTTTGCTAGAAACTTACCCCAAATATCCCAGTGTAATAATACTATTGTGTATTCTCACTAGCAGTGTTTGGGGTGAAATTAAGAGTTCTTGATTATTTTTCTACTTTTATGCAAGTAATTTTAGAGTTTTTAATTGTGTTTAATATAGTAAATTAGAAAACAGAATGAATCTTTAAAAAAAAAGCTATAGTGTAGGCTGGGGGTATAACTCAGTGGTAAAGCAGTTGTCTAGCATGCAGGAGGCTCTGGGGTTGATCCCTAGCATTGCAAAGAAAGAAAAAGTCACAGTCTAAATGCTTATCTCTTCCATAATATCCAATGTATTTAAATCAGATTTTTCTGGCATATAAGCCACCCTCTGGGTGTAAGTTCCAGTTTTATATAGGCTTCTGTGTATGGTAGAGTTTAACTCATATCCTAAGAGAGCCAGTTCACTCCACAGTATTATCTATCCACTTATCCTTTCTGTTCACATCACACGAGGGAAACATCATTTGAAAGAGTGTTTTGTATTTTGATCCTGGTACCTTTGCAGTAGGATCTTGTGTGTTCTTCACAAGGGTCAACAAATAAAGCTGCTAGAGTTACCTCATTCTTCCACACTTTATATTGATTTACTTAGACTCTTAAAATATTTAATTCCTCACTTTACTGTTTAATTCATAAAGTCCAGCCTTTTAATAAAATACTTTCTTCTAACTCCCATTTAATTTTTCTAAATAGAGAAAAATACACTAAATTAAACAGTAATTATATGCATTTACCTTATTAAACTGTTGAATTAGGAATAAAGGCCAAAATGATAAGAAATATGGCTAATTTTTTCTGTAATTGTAATAGGAAAAGTGCTATCACATGTAAACACACACATACAATGTTCTTATGAGAGTATGATGTGCACACTTTTAAACTAGTTTTCACTGATGTTACTCTAATGTTCCAATCATGATTTCATCCCATTTGTAAGAGCTCAGGAGTGATCTTGTAACCTAAGAATACATGTTGGCATAGATTCAGTTTTCAGTCTAAGCTTATGTTGACTATTGTGATGAAATTACATAACTCATCCAATGGTGGTTTCTCTCAGAATCTAAAATATCATTATTTTAATGCTTTCATTTCAGAAATATTAGTACTTAATGGCATTTAAGGAAACTAGTAGTTTTTGAGGTAATAGTTAGTCTCAGGAAAGTAATAACATTTGGAATAGAATGATCAAAGACAACATGCATACACACTTAGGTAATGTGAGTTTCAACATATGTGTATGGTGACTTACAAGTAATCTTAATTTTGTTATAATGTTCATAAATGCTAAAGGAGAAAAAAAGAAAATTTTACCCCCTAATTTTTCTGATAAGTATTTATGTAATACGCACAATTGATATAGAAGATGTCAAGAACCCCCCCCCCCTCTTTTTGGATAGATTGTAGTAACATCCCTGGTATAATGGGAAGCAAAGAAAGAGAAAAATTAAGCTTACCAAAAGGAAAATATTAACAATATATTTTGCCTTGGTATCCACTAGGGAGCCTACTTCTTAAATACAAGTAAGCATTCAGCCTCCAAGATTATGGTCCACCTCCGGGATACCCATCTAGAAAGATGTAGTTGGGAAGTCATTGCTCCTGGCAGAAGTCAGCAAGTAACATTGATTAGGCAGTCCTCTGGACACTCTATGCAATAGTCCACAGTGCTCTCCAGGCACTGACACCTCATTTTCCTTTGGTTCCAACTCCCAAGTGAGAGAGATCAAGATTCATATTTGGTGAGTGCAGAAACCACCCAGGCTTAAAAGCTTCACATCCACAGGAACCAATATTTCTCTTATCATCTCCAAAAGCATAGTTTATAGGATCTCCAAAGAGATATGTTTATATATAAAATTCACTGCACTCAGGCAATCCCAATATTATAGTTTTCAATCAGATAGTTATATTGTTCTCAGTCCAAATGCAATCAACCAAACAAGGTTCATTTTTACCATAAGCAATGTTACTTAGCAACACAGTTACCACATACCACCTTATCAAGTTACCAAGGAAACGTAGCTTAAAGTTATGGAGAGGTCAAATTCTCATGCAAAAAAGGAAAAGATAATGGTAACCCATAACCCACATCAAGTCTCATCCAGAAAAATGTGAAATTAAATTGAATTCATGATTTTCAGATGTGAAAATTGTATCATTCTCTATTGCTATTTTTTTCCAGAGCTAATGTACACAGTTGAACTTGCTGGAGGGCTTGGTGCTATTCTCCTGCTGCTTGTTTGTTTGGTGACCATCTATAAGTGTTACAAGATAGAAATCATGCTCTTCTACAGGAATCATTTTGGAGCTGAGGAGCTGGATGGAGGTAAGATGAGTTTCCCCTTTTATTGTTGTTTCTGAATATTTTTATTATTTTCCCCTGCCTTTATTTTATTGAAGGGAAAGAAAAGTTACTTGCAAAATCACTGGCAGCAGGTCTTATAATCTTTCCATGTTCAGTTGTAAGTTCATAATTTGTACTGAAATATGTGTATGATACATTGGAGCCAATAGGTATTTTCCTCTGAAAGTTGTAAAGCAACACCTACCCTTTTTAGAATTGTATTCTAAACAGCACTTACAAATTACAAACACTGATTGCAATGCCATCAGAGTGTTCATTTTCTCTCACCTTGTAATCAGTACTGAAAGGCCAGCTTTACTTTTCTATAGGTAAGGAGTGTCTCTTTTAATTGTGTTCCCTAGCCCAGGAGTTTGAAGTGAATCTTAATTTGTTCCTGTTTAAAATGATCAGTATAATAAACTGTACTGAATCTTTTAGCATTCATCCAGCAGTCTTTTCAATCTTGTTTATTTTGCTATATTTAGATAGGATAATTTTTATTCTAAGTGTGGACCAACAGATAAAAAAGTGCACAAGCACATTGTTTTCATAATAACACATCTAACATTTTTACTCAATTGAAGAAGTAAATATTGTTTTGTGGAAATCATAATTATTCTTTGCTTTTGGTCAGCCAGGTATATGTGTACATTCTGTTAGAAATATCAAAGTACCACAAGAAATCAAACACATGCTCAAAAGTGGGTAGGCAAGGTGATCTACATTTCTGCCAGAGGGCATGCCACCAGAACCAGGCTAGCAAGCAAGCAAGCAAGAGTACCTGGGTGTTGGGCTGGGGATGTGGCTCAAGCGGTAGCTCGCTCGCCTGGCATGCATGCGGCCCGGGTTCGATCCTCAGCACCACATACAAACAAAGATGTTGTATCTGCCGAAAACTAAAAAATAAATATTAAAATTCTCTCTCTCTCTCTCTCNTCTCTCTCTCTCTCTCTCTCTCTCTCTCTCTCTCTCTCTCTCTCTCTCAAAAAAAAAAAAAAAAAAGAGTACCTGGGTGGGCAGTCTACCTGCATATATCCCTAATGCAGTGCTGTCCCTCACCCTGATAGTGCTGTCTCTCACCCTGATTGGAGGAGCTCAGGGGTATAATCTTTGAGACTGGCTAATTTTAAAATTAGGGCAGGCAAAAGGAAGGCCTATAATCAAAATGGTTACAATTGGATCCAATTAAGGCTATATTCTGAAAATTGACCACTGGACTTTCTATTTCTCAAAATTCAAAAGAAGAATTTGGGGCTCTTAGAGTTGAACTCCCTAAACCACTCATTAGAGAAATTAAGCAGTCTTTTCCCCCCTTCTTTTGTATCATTTGAAAAACATAAGATAAACATGCACTATAGGAAGCATATACCAGTTGGAAACGAATAGTGCAAATTATAAAGCTTTTTCTATCATATTTATAAACTTTTTTCACTGTCAATTTTGCATTAAAAAAGTACAAAGTAAAAATTAAGCAATTTCCCTTGTTGCCACCTGTGCAGGGCCCTCTGGAAGAAATCCATAGGCAGAACAGGAGGTTGTCAGTTTTATAAAGGGAGCAAACTATAGTTCTCCCTTTCCCATTAGGATGAAGTCTGGGCTGAAGCAAAACTGTGGTTTTGTTTGTTTGTTTTAAGTGATGGCTTGCCTAGTTGTTCTCTGTTTCTAACTGTCTTGGCTATTCACATAGATTATTAGTTTTCTTTGCTACTGCTTCAAAGAGATGTGAGAAAATTGTCAATGTCAGAGCTATTGTTGGATGAGCATACCAAGTAGGGTGTTAGACATTCTTCAAATCATCCTTGCTAAGCCTCACATAAATTCTAAGGTCAATATTATAATCTCCATTTTACTGATAAGGCAACTGAGTCTTCCAGAGGTTAAATAACTTACTCAAGATGATAATACAAGTATTACTGTAAGTGGCCAGGGTGGGATTTGAAAATAAGTCTGTTTTCAAATCCTTTATTTTATTGAATATTGAATCCCCATCTTATTTTTTTTCTTTCCAAATTTGGTGTGTTCGGCATCATCTAAAGATCTCTTGTCATTTGAACAATTTGCACAATAGAAGATATTGGGAAAAAAGCAGATTTTGTAGACAAGTTTTACTTTATCTATTAACCCTATTTTGAATATGTTTGTGTTCCCAATGATTACCCAATTCATTAATTTTCGATGTAGCTTTTATATATCATTTTCTGAATGTAGAAAATAATGGAATAAAATAAAAATTATGAATTATATACAGTTGAACTTTCAGTAATTTGAACATTACTCTGGGGATCCTGCTTATTAGATTTCACTGCTATTCTGAAGCTGTTGAGTTCTCAGACTTCCTTGTGTTTTAAACAAAAAAATATAGCCAGGATACATTAACAAATAATATTCTAGTAGATGAGAAGGATCTCCCAGAAAGCTAATTTTGCTAATAAATGCCTTAGAATTTGTTAGAACCTTCTCCCTAGGGTCATGTTGAATGCACTATCAGGGATCTAACTAGAAGGGTTTTCCTTGACATGCTACTGTGAATGCACTAGACTCAAAGAAAACTAAGATAATTAAATTAATTATCATCTAGATAAGGTTAATGCACAAATAATCCCCTTAAAAGGAAGGGGGAAGCAAAGATTGTCAAGGCAGTGCTTGTTCATTTTTTTTTCTTTTTTTTTGGACCAGAGATTGAACCCAAGGGTACTTAACCATTGAGCTACATGCCTAACCCATATATATATATATATTGTGTGTGTTTTTTGAGACAAGGTCCCATTATGTTGTTTAACCCCTGGATAAATTGTACTCCTCCTCCCTTAGTCTCCTGAGTTGTTGGGATTACAGGTGTACACCACCACACTCACCTTCAAATGTCTTTTAGAGGAGGAAGTCTTACTACAAGTGCAATGATGTGAGCACCCTCCTTGTATTAAAAGTAGACATTCTCCAGCTGAAATGAACAGAACCTCATTCTTAACTCTATCCTGCTGCATCTCATCTGACCTGTAGAACTTTCAGAAACATTGTTCCTTCAGAACCATAATACGATAATAACCACAATGTGTAAGTTCAAAATCTACATCTTAACAAAAGTTAGGCATACATAATTTTATATTTCTAGAGTTCAGGATATAGTTCAGTCGGTAAAGTGCTTGCCTCACTTACACAAGGTCCTGGGTTCAATCTCCAGCACCATGTACACACACACATACACACATATACACACACGCGCGCACAAAATCTCATTTCTCTAATTCTTTAGTCATCTAAATGTAACCAAGTTGGCTCTCAAATTCTCATTTCCAGCAATAGCAAAATAAATAAACAAACAAACAAAATCTTATCACCTTGCAACCCCAAGATAACTGTCAGTTCTGATTTGGAATTCAGCTTCTTATGTGTTAACATTGAGTTTTAAATTGAGATTTTCCATTTCCCTTCTCCTTCCCTTTTCCCTCAAGAAACCCATTTCTAGGGAACTCATATACAGCTTTCTGGTAAAGGGGAAAGACCTCTGGTGCCTGCACCATCTGTCTTATTTGAGATACTCCCACCAGTTCTTAGGACTGAGCCCTGGTTACTCAAGACCAAAATCTTTGCAGTAGTTTCCAGACACAAGCTTCACACACTTGTTCAGACTTTATTCTATTGGAAATTTCAGACATGCTTACATGTATTTCTAGCACCATAAACTCTGCTACATTGCAAACCCATATCCCTGTGTAAAAAAAAAAAAACAATCATCCTCTTAAGCATAGCCTCATTAACATGCAGATCCCATGTTGTGTGCAGAATTTCTCTAAAAAGTAGTTTCCCAAGACAATCCCTGGGGAAAAGATCACAAATCCTTTCTATTTACAGATTCTGCCTCAGACTATAGGAGATTCTATTAGACCCTTGCCCTCCCTGGGACCTTGAGTCCTTCTCAGAAACCCAGGCAACCTCTATACCTTAATCACATCCCCTTATATCCTTCTACACATACTATTACGATTTAATAACAGCATATGCTTTCAGTGGTGGAAAGCTTCTCTGACATCATTAAATCCACATGGTTCCTAGCTCTCCTACAAGTCTTTTTCTCTTCCAAAGAGGGGAGAACTATTAAGAAGAACACTGTTCAGATTATTGTCTCACCTTTTAAATATGTAATTCAGAGGTCAAAGCTCTTTATTCTTGGCCATTCTATCAGTTTTACCTCTCCTGAAAGGGGAATTTCATAAAATTTTCTTGGAAGTAACGAAAAGCAAAGGGTATGAAGAAGAACAAGGAAACAAAGTTTAGCTAATAGGAAGCTGAGGTGTAGCTCTGTGTCAGCAGAGCACTTTTGTAGGTAACACAAGGTTCTTGGGACAATCCCCAGAACCAGACACACACACACACACACACACACACACACACACACACAAACACACAAACAAACACACACACACACGTGCACACATGCATATAAACTTTAGCTAATAATTTGAAGTGATGGCCTAATGCAGTGATTGATTATAATAACAGATCCATTGAATATTTATTGAATAACAAATGTTATGTTTATCACTAATATTCATACAACTAGAAATGACTCTTAATCCCAAGAATTGCTGCCATTGTATGAGATGGAAAATGGAGTATTTGGTATTTGAGGCACATTCAGTCAGTTGCTATCAAGTTGTTCTAATGAGTGTTAATTGATTATATCAGTTCTGATTCAGAAAGATTTTGATAAAGAAGAATTCTGACATGTTTCTGAGATAGAATATGCTTTGATTTCTTGGTTTATTCACATATCTGCTTGCTCCTCCTCTATATAACTTTACATTTTATTGTTTCCCCTGGATTCAGGCCTTACCAGTTCTCTTCTAATGTGACAACACTCAAATTTTTGGATCACATTAACATTCTATCTTTTTTAAATATTTATTTTTAGTTATATGTGGACACAATAACTTTATTTTATGTGGTGCTAAGGATAGAACCCAGTGCCTCATGCACACCAG